AATCTCCGACTTGACGTTTCTGGAAGTAATTTAAGAGCCGAAAAGTAAATTGATAAGGCAAAGGGAGGGACCTTTAGCTTGGGAGACGGCGCCGATTGCCAACAGGCGGTCGTAGCTCATTTCCCCTGTCCCGGCTAGCGCGGAGTCGTCTCCGTTCTGCCACTGTAAAGCACGCTCTCGCGCACACACAATTTTACCCTTCGAGAAAAATAAAATTGCTTTTTATATCCCCACCCCTTGTTTTGGTGTGTGATGATTGTTCCCCTCTTGCTGTGTTCCTCTTCACGGAGGCGGGAGGTTCGAGAGTTGTAAGCTACCCTATCATAAACTATTCCAACGCCGTAACCTCAATACTTAACTGGCTGCCTACCACTCTCTGCTCAATTGCTTCATTGTCTCGTGTTACTCTCATAAAAAGCGACTCGGGCCTGCCGAATCTCACCAAAATTGAGACATTATACTGCAAGACGCACACGTGTTGCCACCCCATCCCGGCCGATTTTTGCAACATTTCGTCATAAAGGTAGGAAATCTAATTTCCAACGAGAACTTCATTTGCGAATATATTTGCAGTTTGAATTTTTGTATTTAAATGGCATGAGAATTTTACAATGTATAGATATTCAGAACTTTTTCCGATGCAAGGGAATTTTGATATATAATTGAATAATATCACAATTGGGGGCAAATAATAGGATTTAATGATCGGCGAATAAAAGCGCGGTCGTGTTTGTAAATAGCGCTCCCATTGTCACACGCTCTTCTTCTGGATCGTAGCTGTTTATGAGGGTTGAAAGGAAATGTTTCAATATGGGTGGCAAAGGACCATTCACGAATATTGTTCTCCTGGAATATTTATGGCCTGCGAATGTAAAAAGTTGACTGCTCCTTGGAGGGTTTTGTGTGCACGTGAATATGTGGATGCACCCTGAGAGTTTTTCTTTTGTCTATTTCCCCCTCTTTATATAACCGCGTGTCATCAAAAAATGCGTGAAAAATTTAAGAATGTCTATTCAAGAATGACAAAGCCAAAAGAACATTATGCTTGGTAAGCGAATTAAAATTTTTAGAATCGTGAATTCACTTCTATTTACCCTTCAATTCCATTAATGAAAATTTTATCTGAGTTCTATTTTAAATAAAAAAGACCAGAGTAGTTTAATAAAGGATAACAAGTTTTCAATTTGCCCATTTTGCTAAAAAGTAAGAAAATAAAATGACACCAGAATACAATGTTGCATAGTAGAGTAGCAGAAATTTATCGAATGTGTGGTTCATACCATTTGGTTAATTGTGTTGAATAATTTTAGAATAATTCGTTTATTGTGAACATTAAAAAATGTTTAGACACAAAATAAACTTTCTGAAAGGTTTATATAGGATCAAGAAGCTATTTCGCATAAAATGAAACATATTCTTCCTAAAAATATTAAAATATTTTAATTGGTTTATTTTTTTTTTTTTTTATTAATTGTTATTGAAATATATTTTTTCCTTGTTTAATCTTTAACAATAACCGTAACTAACGAAAGTCAGAAAAATAAAACAGCCTCTCTTTTAATAAAATGTATTTTACGTTAAAACCAAAAATAAATTCTCATACCCATCTTATTATTCAAATGAATTAATAACTGAATAAAACAATTATCTCGAGAATGATTTAAATATATTTTTCTTATATTAATGCACTCAGAGAAATGATTAGTTGTTCCAACTAAAATTTAGTTTTTGCAACTAAAGATTTTAGTCATTTTTGGTCCAACTCAAATGGTTATTCATTGCGACTAAATTATTTAGTTGAAATTTAACTCACATATTTAGTTGCCCTAACTAAATCTTTTAGTCGGTTTTAGTTGACTGTACTAAACATTACAGGGTCTTTTAGTCGCTTTAACTAATATGTTTATTTGTTTTGAATTTTCTTTATTAGTTGATATGAATTCTTATTTTATTTCTTTGAAGGGGCTCAATTTTACAAGAAAAAACATACTAGTTTGGTAAATTCGAAAGTCTTTATTGCAAGATAGATAAACATAGAGGAAAAGAGAAAAAAATATTTTGACTCACATATAATAACGCAATATGCAGAATCCATCCAGTGGTTTTTTGTTCATGTTGTCTTGACGTATACAAAAAAAACTATATAGTGTCCACACTTAACACATTCACTAGATGAAACTTCCACGCCAAATAATGTTATATCTTGAAATCCTCTAAGTTCACCTGTCTGGCCGATACTGCAAATAATTTTTTTATTAATATTTGGAAATCAGAGTTGCTCAAATTTCAATTTACCGTTTTGAAAATTTATCGCTGTTAATTGAAGTATGTATGATCTATATGGTTTTTTGATAGCCAGGGCAGCGCTCTCAGGGTCAATATAATGATATATCCTTTCCTTTTCTGGTCCGATCAGTCCTTCACGTTTAAATCTGAAAATAATTTAACCCATTTTTAAAGAGTCTTAATTCACTTCATCCCCAACTGCACAATTGAAAAACTAACAGTGGGAACGACAAACAAAATTTCAAAATTTTTCGATTATAATCAACTCACCTCAAAATTTAATGCGCTCGGCGCATTCCTTAATACATGAAGAATGTTGCAAACGATGGTTTTCAAATTGATGGCTTGATTATGAGATGATTATTCTAGATTAATCCAGGAGACTATTGTGACTACATGTTTCACTAACAAGTGTATTTACAAATGTTTGACCGACGCGTCCGACAGGAGGCGTTTTGGTCTTTTTTACTTACATTGACTAAAAGATTAGTTACCACAAATAAACTATTTAGTTGCTAGCGTGGGCTTTTTTTGACGCTCGAATTTTCTTGGTTTTAGTAACATCGACTAAAACATTAGTCAATAGAAATAAAGCTTTATTCATAGCAAATAAAACGTTGAGTTTCAGGAACTAAATAATTTATTTGTATTAAGTCACAAGATTTCTCGGCTTTAGTTTCAATAAATGTTGAGTTTATTCCTTATAACTAAAAATCAACTAAAACGCATTAGTTGAAGCTCAACTAAAGGTTTTAGTTGAAAATCAACTAAACATTTCTCTGAGTGTGAACGAACTAATCAGTCATCATTATTTTTTGTAAATTTTTGTAACTATAAAGCTATTATTAATATTCCATTTTGCATACAATTTTATTGTTCTTGTTAGTTTAAATACTGTGAAATACATGGAATTAATATCCCCTAACATTTCCCTGTGCAAAAAAAACCCAATTTATTAAATTATCAAGGTTTTCATGAGATTTTATATTCTTGATCACATTTTCGCCATGTCAAATTTCAACACCAAAATTTGTGAAAGAAAATTGCAAGAATAAAAGTTGAAGTGATATTAAGGGGTGAATCCGGTGGGCTAAAAAGGGAGAAAAGCGCAACAGTTTTTCTGATACAAAAGGCGCGCGAAAAGATTACACATGTTTTGGTTGGTGCACCATTTTTCCCGAGTTAACTGGGGATGAAATAAGACGAGTTAATAGACTAAAAATAAAAGGGAAGAGGCGAGAGCGCAGTGTATAATAACAATAATGGTGCGAGTGTGGTGCGAACCTTATGGAAGAGAGCGAGAGAAAGAGAAGAGGCAGTTAAGTTTTATGACAGACATTTGTCAAGCCGGCGCGCGCGTTGTGCGGGTTGCCTACGCGGCGAGTGCTTTGAATGGAAAAACCAAAGCCGGTTGAAGGCAGACGCCTCTCTTTTCCGGCGGCACCTATTCACTCACTCACTCACTCTCTGTTTGTGTAAAATACGAACGGGCCAAAGTGCTCATTATGTATTAGTACGCGCGTCATAAATATCAAAACTCTCTCGGGCGGCCGTGCTGCGGTGGTTTGATCTTGAGGCGCGATTATCCAGCGGCAGCCGCGTCAAATTACTTGTTGATGCGCGCACATAAAAATCCCCTTAATTGCCACATAAAATTTTATTGGTGTGATTTCCAGCCCACCGCGGGATAAATTATTGTTATTTACACACGGGGCACCGGCTAAAAGTCCTACACAGTCCTAGACTCCCTATTAGAAATATCCTGCTTTTATGTGAATGAAAAATTACTTTTTGCTTTTATTTATTTTACTTATGAAACCATTATTTCAGTTTTTTCCTTTACTCTCAAAAGTTCTGAATATTCCTTAAACGCGTAACAAATTTGAGTATACTCTCACTTATTCTTAGGCTGGAGTAAATAATTTTCTTGCTGTATTTTTCATAAAAATTATTTCAAACCATGGTCGTTAAAAATTGCAAAATGGTGAAAAACTGAAAACTCATTAAATTTTGTTTGTGAAGTGCAACAATAATTCTGTAAAAATTAAGAGATTCTTTAAATAAAACTTTATGCAAATAAGAATTAAAATGTGAGACACACACAATTTAAGATTAATTAATTTGTACATTCCTGCGGTATAGATGTTGAAATTGATCACGGAAATTTTATTAAAAAGTTTTTCTCGTAGTGCTTTCTTTTTTTCCAACAATTCAATGTTCCCTCAAGTGTATAATGCGATTTTCCTTTTAATTTGTGCAAACAAACAATATAATTAGGAAAACTCACAATAAAAGTGTTTAAAAGGCATTAAAAATCACAATGCCAGTTCAAAATTGAATATTTTTCTGATAGTTAAATTTAAACATATTATTAAATAAATTTGATATTGATGAAAACAAAAAGTTGAAACATTTTCCATTAATACAAAAAAATTTAGTATAATGTGTAATACCAATTGAGACGAGGCGCGCTGCTGCTGGTGCGGCTCTTCTTGCTGATTATTATTGTTTCACGTGTGTTTCCCCTTTTTCTTTTTTCGCCAACTGCGAGTTTGGCGTGGAATTGGTTACAATTCTTGTTAGTGGATACACAAAACCCAGCGAGATCACGTCCGTCCCGCAACGGAGCAAAAAAGTGAGGCTGCAAACCAGTCCCCGAGAAAAGAGCAGAGCAGCAGCAGCTAGCCAGGCGCATTATTACTACAACTGGCCCCAGTCTTTACTTGGAACTCTCCACAGCCACATAATAAGCACAGGAAGAACAAGTGATAATTGGATTATCATCATTATTGCGCTGCGCCTGCAAAAAATCGCATGAGCACACCCGCTTTTCATCAACAGGGTGTGAAACTTCGCACACAACGGTGCCAAAAAATTGAAAAAGAAAAAGAAAAGGCTCCAGTTTGCTGAAATCTCATAACAAAAGGCTTGAAAATTTGTGAGTATAGAAATATTTATAATTAATTGAAAACGAAAAATATAATTTTAATTGGATGGTTTTAACGTGACATGATGAATATGTAATTTTAAAAAGTTAAAAATTATTTGAATTTAAATCTAAAAGTTCAATTAATTTGTAAAATAAATATGTTTAAACTAGAAATATTCTTAAAATATGTGCTCTTTTCTCGCTTCGCTGATGGTTTTTTTCTAGGAAATATATTCAAAAAATACACTTCTTTTTCAATTTTCAATTCAGTTGAAAATCACACCAGAAGCCGCTGGCTGTGAACGCCTCTTAATAATTTAATAAAAAGCCACCAGAGAGGGCCCGCAACGGGGTGCAATAAGGATTGAACATTATTTGATCGCTTCGCAAGTGGCGAAGACCCTTGTGATTTGAGTCTGGGCGGGGATACTTTACGAGCTCCGAGGCCGGTGTTCGCGTGCATGGCTTCCCGTTCTACCCACATCGCCGTCTTCCGTAAACTATAAACTAACGCGGGCGCGCGCCGCTCTTCGCAATTTCATATCGTGTGTATGGCCTGTGTGCGCACCAAACAATTTGTCTCGCCGGTAATCATAGTCGTAATTAAATCCAGGGTGCACTTTATCACAGGAGCGAGAGCGAACGATGCGCTACAAGTTATTTACGCGTTGGGGCGAAATTTGAAATTGAGCAGGATATTAATTTAGAAACATTTAAATACATTAATTACTTTATAAAGCTAAAGTGGCTACTTTTATATTATTGTGTTATTATTGATATACATGAATATTTTTAACATTGACAATTATATTTAGAATTCATTATTTTTGATAATTAATTAAAAATATTAATTCTAATGTTAATTTTGTGTGTTTACAAATTGATGCAACACAAGGTTTCAAATTTCAAGTCCGCAGTACGTAAATTGTTTGGAAAATTTAAAATAAAAATTTGGAAGCCCAAATTTTAATTTCAAAGTTGCCATGCCCTGGAAATTTTATCCTTAATAATTTGTGGACTGTTTATTTTCAATTAATTTAGATAAATTATTAATTTCTCAATATATAACAAATTATTATTATTAAATAATAAATAAGTTTATAAATCTTAAAAATTTAATGAGAAATCGTAGCAGCCAAAAAAAATTTAAAAAAAGATCTTAAAAAAAACCGGGAAACGGATAAGACGTATTTTATAATTTTTTTTTAGCCATCACTGTAAAACTATTAATTATTTAAGATGATGTACAAATTGATGTACAAAAAAAAATATTTAAATTATACTTCTCTCTCATATTTTTATTTTGAACTTCTTGAGATTTACTTTGAGAGGATCTCTCGTCTATAAAAATACTCACAAGTTGTAACAATTAATACTTTTGCAAGGCGGAACCTCTTTGTTCTGCAGCTTCGAGGATCAAATTCCCCATTGATGTCGAATCGAATGACTTCGGTACAAAAATTTCTGCCGCAGAATTCAAGCTCAAAGAGAATTATATGTAAAAGCACCTGCTTTATAAATTATATTTCCCTGGGTAGAGCCGCGGCCGAGCCAAATGTCAGGCTAGGTTGAAAGAACAAGCCGGGGCATTTCTTTTTCTCTCTTTCGTCCACTTTGAGAAAAGCGCCGAGAATTGCCTTGAGTGGAGCCGCGCAGCAGAATTTCTCAAATCCTCTGCTTCTCTTTGTGGCGGCCGAGAGAGCAGGTCTCTTGTTTGAATAAAACCTCGTTCGCTGTGCGAGAGAGCTCTGAAAACTCTGGCTGCTGGCTTTATACAGGTGTCCCATATTATTTTATGTGCTGGTGATTCAGCTACATATAAAAGCAATACAGTTACGGGCTCGCCAGCAGCACAAACTCGTAATCCATACAGGACCACATGAATAAAAACAGCAGAGAGCTTACACGAGAGAGCAGCGAGCCCCTGTTGGAAAATTATTCCGTCTCGTCCATTTCCTGCTGATTATGGCTTTATTGATTTCTGACGCACTTCGGATATTGTTTTTGAAGCATAGAAATTACTAAAATATCCCAATCACAAAAAAACCAATCTAATTAATTCAACAAACTTAAATAATAATTTGTTCAGACTCAAATTTTAACTAAATTCTCCTTATTTTTTTTTTTTAATTTAAAAGTGCATTTCTAATTTGATCGTCTTTTAATAGTTTCTCATCAATATAAAAAAAGCGCGGTGACAAGTGGCAAATAATTTAACACGGGGAATTGCATCCGAAACGACTCATTGTTGTTTAAATCTTGTTTAATCAGCAGCGAATCTTGCTCGCCTCTCCCTCGTTCTCTTGAGATGCACCACATTGTAACGGTACACTTGCTCTCGCACCTAATTAAATTAAAATTAACGAGGCGCGCTTCAAGCTTAGCTCTCTCGGCAGAGTGAATTTGTGGCCCGCGCGCTACAAGGCGAGTCATAAAGCACTGCTCGACGGCAGATGGAGCGGCGACGTCGGCCATTTGAGAGCCGCGATCTTCCCTTCGCTCGCTCTCGCGAGATGAGATACGAGCTCGCCTAGGGGCGGGGCCTCTGGACCAACACCGTTGCCACACCTCGGCCGCCACTTAGTGAGCGCCGATCAATTAATTAACCGCTTCATTTCATGCAGATCGTTGTTGAAAATAATTGGTATTGATCCCCAGCCACAATAAAATTGCAAAATGACTTAATTTTTTCGTTCCTTAATTTACAAGTCTGATTTTTTTATGGTGTAGACGTATATAAATTTAGTACCATTAATTTTAACAATCTTATTGTAAACATATTATTAAAATGCATAATTAAAATTTGATATAAACATCAACTATTGTATCCAAATTGTAGCGCTGGTTTATATAAAAAAGCATCGCTTATTTTCCTGCCAAATTTAATTAATAATTTTAGTTCATGTTCATATGATATAAAAAAAAAATAGTGTTAAAATGTATAATTTTTAGAATTGAAATAGCCATTTTTCTGTGAATTTAAAATTTAATTAGAAATCCGTGGTAAATAATTGTACAGTATCTATGTATTAAAAATCTAAAAGGCTTATAAAATTATATTTGAAAATTTATTTTATTGGGCAATTTTAACGCATCAAGTTTAAAATTTTAATTAATATTTTTGTATTGATTTGTTCTCCAGACTTAGAATCAATATATTTTAATTTTCAATACTTATAATAACACAAGGGGAAGACAAATTGGGTCAATTGTTAGCAGCTAAGGGCGGTTTGTTTGCAATGGTGGTGTCGCACTAAAAAGTGAGTCGAACACATTTAAACAGCATTACGGCCCATTTTCAGCAGCGGCAATGCGTGCGGCTGTTAATGGGCAATTTCAGTGTTCCACGGCTATGATTTTAATGGCCGCGCGCGCCGCTGCCGACTCTACAAGAACGGGGAGATTCCGCGTGTGACGTCACATCGGCGTCAGACACTCAATGCAAACACACTTACACATTCTGCACGGCGTTTTTCATTGACAAAAACTCGTCCTATAAAAAGTGTCAATATAATAAATTTGAGGCTAATGCGCGTGGCGCGCCGGTGTTTTGGGCCCATTCACTTTTCAGCCTATTCTGCGTGTGCGGATGCTTCACAGCCACCAACGCTCGGCTACATGTAGAGTGCCGAGGCGGCCGGCCATAAACTTCAAGTACCCATTTTATGGCCCCATAACTGCTCCTTGCTTTGCCATTCTGCTCAACATTGGCCCAGGTCGGGTGTCCTCTTCTTATCTCAAACTCCATTATTATTATTGCCTTATGCGCTAATGAAACGCTTTCATGATCCGCTATGTGCGCTTATTAATTGTTCCCAACGCTTAATTTGCCTATTGAAAGTTCATTAATACTTTGGGAATAAAATAACAAAATAAAAAGCTCATTGCGCAGTTACTCAAAATTACTCAAAATTCATACTTCTATACCTTTTTTAAAAATGAATTTCAAATTTGTATCTATATAATTTTTTTTAGTATTAATTAATTTTTTATTTATTTTTATATAGCAAGACAATAGATGTGAGGATGTAGAATTAATTTTTCTCAGATACTATTATTTATTATTAAATATTATGAAGAAAATTGAAATAATACCTTATTTAAATTTAACTATCTAATTTTTTAAAAATAAATTTAAAAGCAATTTAAAATGTTTTTAAGTAAAAAATAAATATTTCAAATTTATTTAAAATACTATTATTGTCATTGATTGTTATTTTATACGACTTGCACATTTACTTGCATAGTCTCCATATAAGATGATCGCCTATATACGCTGTACACCAATTTGGGCGTCGCTGCTGAAAGTGTAGCGCGGCGCAATTGACGTTTATCGCGTTGCACGGATCTAAAATAACCCTTTGTGTGTCTGCCACACTTTTTTACGTTTATTAATTCACCGCAACGGCGCATGCAGCGCCCAGAGATCGAGATACTGCAGCCACGTGGTGCTAATGAAGTGCAAATTGCACGCAATTAACCGCCGATTAACATCCGTCACTTGACGCCGTCGTCAATGACAATCATTTTCAAAATTTATTTCTCCTTTGTTGGCTTTGAGGCGCATTAAACAGTCTGCTCACCGTGTCCTGCGCGTTAAACCGAGACACCCACGCTTCTTACTGCAAAAATTTGCTCCGCGTCCAGCATGCCAATTGCAAGTTGCGATGCATGCCAGAATTTCAATGAAACGCCTCGTGCTCGCTGAGAACAATAAAATTATATTATTTTTTCGAAAGGAGATAAAAAAAATTACATATATTTTTTTATTTTCTTTTTATATGCAGAGACATATTCTAGATATAATATGTTTTATGCAAATTTGACAATCATTTTATAAATTTTTTCACATCCATTGCCAACACCTTTTCCTTCTATTAATGAAAGTCTGTTTGCGGAGGAAGATTTATCGAGACATGAGTCATTAATATTATCTCATTATAAACATTAATTCCTACGTTATTTTCCAATGGAAAAACTTTGTGTCGGAGAATCAAGCTCGCACACGG